ATAGTCATATTTCAATTATGATACATTATATATGTATATAGATTATTGCTATTTTGAAATAAGTTCTTAAACTTATTATTTGTAAAACATAGAACAGTAACTAAAGAAGTAAAGCAAACAATTATCTCTTCTAGTTACGATCTTGGTACTCAGTTGCTACTTGACATAGGTTGCTAAGCATTTAAAAAATTTACACATGTAGGATATGAAACAAAATAGCTTTTTTCAGATTTTCTATATACATTTAAATAACTACAAAATCATAAATTACTACATTAATACCATAGGATTCCACTATAATCTATCAAGCTTAGTAACTAAGATGTATTTTAGTCTAAAAAAATATGAAATTTCTAGCAGACTAAAGACACACCCTACCTCATTGAAATATTGGTTCAAAAGAAAGAAATTGTGCCAAAACCGTTAAAATGGCTGAGAGAGCCATTAGGGGGACATTCTGACCTTCTGTTTGGTTATTCATGTCATATATAGATGTACGTGTATGTAACGGAGCATTTCCAAAAATGGAAAGAGGTGGGCAAGGTGCCACTGTGTTTGATATATTACATGAGCAATATCTTAGCAAATTGAAAAGATAAGAGGCTCTTGTCAATATTGGTAATTTGAGTTTGTAATTCGTACGAAACTACAGACTTTATAGTATTTTGACATCACAAACATCTAATTTGAACCAGTGCTGCATTCAACATACCAAGTCACACAAAAAGCAATTCTTATCTATGTTTTCTTAATATTTGCTTTTATATTAAGAAATTGAGTAATATATAGTACTAAAATTTGAATTATAATCTACAGTTCGATACCAAAGTTACTGACATAAATTCATGAAATAGTAGTTCAATAAAATTTTGAATGCAAGTTAACAAACGAGATGACATGGCCTTTCACCCATGACCCGTCTCGAAAGGGTTAAAGAAAGTAAGCATATAACAGGGTATTCACCAGGATATGAAAACAGTCCATGCCAATTTTTTGAAGAAGTGATGAAGACACAAAATGAGTGTTGCATTAACAAACCTTATAGAAGGTTTGAGCACTAGTTTATAGTTTCATGGGAAAGTTACTGTTGGAGCTCATGTAGCATTGACCAAAGGCATTCAACGGGAAGTTTGAAGACTTAGAAATAAACCACAGAGTTGAGAAGTTTTTTTAGTTTCTTTGCACATTCTTTTTCAGTTTAACTGGTAAATTACATCTCTTTGAAAACTACAGAAATTTTGTTTGAGAAGACATCAGGTAAACTTAGTTAGGTTTATTAAGTACAGTAGGCAACTTCAAAATATTTTGATGATTCAAATCCTTATTTATTGAATATAATTTTTAAGTTTATAAAATGAAAGAGGCAAAATTTATATTAATTTCCTAATTTTTTATGGTGGTTGTGAGATCGGTCAAATCTACCAACCAGTACAGAGATTAATTACTGAAAATAACAGATAAAATATAAAGTTTTTTTATAAGAAACGTTTGATAACTATCTGG